ACGTAATCTCAGTTGGGCGTACCTTGCGTATAATGTTCTAGTAAGTAGTCTTTATTTCCACGTAGCATAATGCGGCAACTTTATGCGACTTTAGTAATAGATTTGGACTTTATCTAAAAAGGGCGTTCCTATTTAAGGCCTCAATATTTGGTGAGCGGATCATATCATAAAATAAATTAGACGTTCCTGAGTAAATTGCCGAAACTGAGTGACTATTGAAAGTCAAACTTTTGTAATTTCCACCTAGTTAACTTCGACCTTATTTCTTTTGATCCTTCTATTCTTAAACAGTGTTTATTTAACCATGTAGGCACTCATAGAACAAGCGATAAACGGTGTTTGTCAAATGGAACTTACACAAATTCTCCTCGTCTGCCTCACACCGTTCATCTGTCGTCTCTCGTGTCCCTCCTCCTTTTACAATCACAGATTTCAAGGATTCCTTGACGCCATTGTCGGCATTGCACATCGGGAAGACCGTTACCTCCTCCACTTCCTCCATCATCTCCTCTGAGCAGTTCAACTCAATGGCATCTGAAATACATTTGAAACATAGGAACTTCAATCACACATCCTGTGGGCTTGTTACTCATGGCAGACCATATAGCAATTCACAAACCCAATTGACATTATTCTTAGGGGTTTCTTTTTCCAATCTAGAGCAGCGCCTGCTATCATTTATTATTCTACACTCCTATGCTTCCTAGGCAATCGCACGACACGACTTTCAGTTCCGCGACTCATGCCTACGATGCCCAAAGGCCTTTTACATGGCTCAGAAAATATGCAACTATTGAAAACTATCTAACTTCAACATCATCTTTTCTGATCCTTCTTAATCTAGAAAATCAGTTAAATACTGTAGCGACTCATAGAGCAAGCGATGAGCAGTGTTTATCAGATGAAACTTACAGAACTGCTACACATCTTCCGCGCTTTGTTTGTTGTCCTGCTCCTCCGCCTTGTACTCTTCTTGCTGCTGGTCCTCCTTCCCCCTCTTCTCCGCCTCCATCATAATCCAACGCAATGTGCGTTGTGAGATAACTCTCATGTAATCTTCTACCAATCTGACATACATCGCAACAAGATGTCTGATCCTAGCTAGCATTGTGGTCCTATTGCCGATGTCTACCATTCAAACTCGGTCTAAATCGATAAGGACGGGTCCCGTTCACTAATTTTGAACAATGTCATGAGAGTTAAGAGCTTCAATAAACAGTTTGTCCTATCTGTCTGGCCTACTATTCAAATTTCGTGAACATCGATATAACGGGCATCGCACGCAGCACTCTGTCAACAATTCTTGACCGAAAATTTGCAAATCACTGCCATACCTATTTTCTTTAAATACCCATTAGGAGTACAGCAGGTGAGGCATTAACTGATGTCGCAGAATATGCATTTTCTTGGGTTCGTAAGGAGTAACCAATTGTCGGATGTCGTGTGGTCGACAAGATAAAGATTCCCAATCAACAGTCAGGGAAGTCGGTTTGAGTTGGACAACCTTTACTGCCTGAGGAAGTGCGTACACAAGGGCTCTGTAGGCAGTCGCCGCGAGCGCGCTCCAAGCAAGCTGTTGTCTGTGTCCGCCTTCGAGGTGTTGTGTCAGCGCGTGTGTGCGCCCTTCGTTGTCTCCACGTCGCCAGCCAATCAGAGTGGGGACAGCGTTGATTGGCTTCGAGCACTCGCGCGGCCCAGCAGCGTATCGACATGGAATGTGAGGCGGACAGGACGGCAGCATGACAAAGGCGGAGGGTGAGGAGACGCGAACTGCTACAGTACTCCCCGGCTAGATCGAAGGTGGCGCGTAGCGATACCGAAGGAACTGTTGATGTCTAAAAAACATGAGTAACCAAACGGTCAGGAAAATCAACATGGCGTCCACTACGGCTGATATATACAGGGGGCACAGGAGTAGAGTGAGTATGGCTCTCGGTTACAGTGTTGTTGGTTGATGAAGGAGTAGTTGGAGTTGGGGGTTGCGGACATGAGAGCAGAGGAAGTACACGGGACGGAGGGATAGAAGGACGGGGAGGCGGAGCAGGGGGTAGGGACCAAAGGGCTCATCCGGGACGGCAGCTTTGAGACGGTCCACGCTCACGACCTCCTCGCGAGTGCCGCGTTGGATGCGGAAGTTCTTCGTCCCACGAGAGATAACTCGGAAGGGGCCATCGTCGGGTGGTTCCAGGGGCCGGCGGACTCGATCACATCGGAGATAGACGTGAGAGCACGTTGCCAAGTCCTTCTCGAGATAAGACGGAGAGGCGGAGGACGTGAGAGGAACCGGAGAAAGTGTCCTCATAAACTGCCGGAGTCGATGCAGGAGGTTGGAAGGATCCTCAACTGCACCTTGAGGGGTTGGCGAGATCATCTTACCCGGAAGTCGGACGGTGGCACCGAACACCAGTTCAGTTGCGGAACAATCAAGGTCCGGCTTCAGAGCGGAGCGGATGCCCAAGAGGACCAGAGGAAGGTGGTCCGTCGGCCGCGGCGCGAAGGGATGCCTTCAGCTGGCGGTGAAACCGCTCGACCACCCCGTTGGCTGCCGGATGATAGGCTGTAGTGCGGATGCGAGTACAGCCTAAAAAGGAGAGTAAAGACTGGAAGAGGTTAGACTCAAACTGGGCACCACGGTCAGTCGTGATTGTGGAGGGTGCACCAAAGATAGCAACCTAACGACTGAGAAAGGCCTTGACCACCGTTGGAGCAGCAATGTCAGGCAGGGGAATTGCTTCAGGCCACCGAGTGAACCGATCCACACAGGTGAGGAGATAGGAACAACCATTGGACAGAGGCAGGAGGCCTACAATGTCCGGATGAACGTGGCTGAACCTTGCACCAGGGTCAGGGAAGGTGCCAATGGGAGTTTTGTTGTGCCGCTGGATCTTGCTCCGGTGACAGGCAATGCAAGCCCGTGTCCATGCCTTCAGGTCCTTGTGCATTCCAGGCCAGACAAAGCGGTCGGAAACCAGCTTGTCGGTTGCTCGACTCCCAGGGTGAGAGAGATTGTGCAGGGAGGAGAAAACTTTGCGGTGGAGGGATGGTGGCACAAATGGACGATGGGATGGGGTGGATACGTCGCATAAAATGGTGCCGTTGCCAGTTGTGAGTGGTAGTTCCTGAAGTTGAAGTCCGGAAACATCCTCATCATAGGGTGGACCGACACGGCGTTGTTCAGCGGCCATCTCAGCGAGGTTTATCCCGGGTGAAAGCTGAAGATGGGCAATAGAAGGCCTGGACAGTGCGTCAGCCACCTCATTGCGTGACCCGTCGATGTGGCGGATATCTGAGGTAAACTGGAAGATGTAGTCCAGTTGGCGGATTTCCCGAGGGTTTAGTTTGTCAGTGTGGGAACGAAGTGCAAAAGTCAACGGTTTGTGGTCAGTGAAAACGGTGAAGTCACGACCTTCAAGGGAATGCCGGAAATGCTTCACAGCTAGGTAAATGGCAAGTAGTTAACGGCCAAAGGTACTGTAGCGTGTCTCAGCCGGTAAGAGCTTTTTGGAGAAGAAGGCAAGTGGTTGAGTCGAACCAGCAAGGTGTCGTTGAAGGACTGCACCTACGGCTACGGTCGAAGCATCTGCCATCAGAGACAGCTGAGCTTCGGGAGCGGGATGTGTGAGTAAAGTGGCATCAGCAAGGGAATTCTTGATTCTCTCAAAAGCAGTCAGTGCTTCACCAGTCAGCTCGAGGGGACCTTTGGGACCAGAAAGCATGTTGGTGAGTGGTAGCATGAGATCAGCACAGTTCGGTAGGATCCGGCGATAAAAGTTCACCATACCAAGAAACCGTTGCAACTGACGCTTCGAGGTAGGGGGTGGAAAGTCCCGAATGGCGGCAATCTTTGAGGGAAGAGGCCGAATGCCTTGGGAGTCGACCAGATGACCGAGAAATTCTAGGGAGGGCACACCGAAGACGCACTTGAACGGGTTAAGAACAACGCCAAATTGTTTAAGGCGGTCAAACACCGTTGTAAGATGTTCCATGTGTTCTTCGGCGGTGGAGGTGGCTACCAGAAGGTCGTCGATATAGGCGTAGACAAATGGTAGGCCGCGAAGCACTCTGTCTCCAAACCTTTGGAAGGTCTGGGAGGCGTTGCGAAGTCCAAACGGCATGCGCAGGAACTCAAAGAGGCCAAAGGGGGTGGTAACGGCCGTCTTCGAAACGTCCTCTGGGGCTATGGGAATTTGGTGGAAAGCACGGACCAGATCGATCTTCGAGAATACAGACTTGCCGAATAGGGCACAGGCAAAATCCTGAAGATGTGGGACAGGATAGCGGTCCGGGATAGTAACGTTGTTCAGGGCCATGTAATCATCGCAGAGGCGCCAGTCACCAATGGCAGCCTTTGGAACCATGTGGAGAGGTAAGGCCCATGGGCTTTCAGACTGACGGATGATGCCCATTTGAAGCATGTGCTCGAATTAGGCCTTGGCGGCAGCAAGACGTGTCGGCGCGAGACGGCGGGGGCGAGAAAACACGGGAGGGCCGGTGGTCCGAATGTGGTGAACAACGTCATGTGGTGGAATAGAAACGTTGAAATTGGGACAAGTGAGGCCGGGGTATTTGGCGAGCAGTTGCCGAAATGGATTCTCGGGTTCAGGGTCCAAGACGGCAAGATGACGGGAGGTGTCGGAGGAAGAGATACCCCGGACAGTGAGGTTGGTGGTCTTGTCGTGTAGACGTGACTGACGGCAGTCGACCAGAAGATCGAAAGCGGCGAGGAAATCTGCACCGAGAATTGCACAGGGGATGTCAGCAACGACGAAGACCCAAGGGAAGAGACGCCGGAGACCGATGTCCAGAGAGAGGGAGCAGGTGCCAAATGTGGTAATCGGCGATGTGTTGACGGCCTGTAGGAAAAGACCGGGATTGGGGCACCGACGATCAGCTGGTGTGGGTGGAATGACACTTAGCTGGGCACCAGTGTCAACCAAGAAACGTCTGCCACTCCTGGTATAGCGGACGTAAAATGTGCGACCAGGGTTAGAGGTATCGGAAAGATTGGTTGCACTGACCTTCCGGCTGACCGGTTTTACCCGTTTGCTCTGCTTGAAAGTGAAGGAGCAAGGGGGGATGCAGCGACGGGCTTTGGCACCGAAAGTAGTGTGGTACCAGCAGGTGGCAGCTGCGTTTGAACGGGCTGAATGAAAAGACTGGGCAGGCGGGGTAGACGGCTTCGGTTGGCTCCGAGATGAGGTAGAAACTGTCTGCTTCTGGAGAGCGGCTATATCATCAGCCAGCTTGTTGAGCTCGATCTCTAACTGCGAAACGGGAGACGCAGGAGGAGTTGAGGGAGTTGAGTGCTGAAATAGACGGCTTGGAAAAACCGTGCATCTCCATGAGCCGATCGGCCATTTGAGTAAGTTGCTTGGCCGAAAGTATGCCGAAGGCGGGTGCCAAAATATGCTGCGCTTCCCGTGGAAAGTTGTCCATGATCAACGCCTGCCTTTGTCGTAGATTAGGAAGAACGAAGATTGCTGTTCGTAAGGAGTCACCAATTGTCGGATGTCGTGTGGTCGACAAGATAAAGATTCCCAATCAAAAGTCAGGGAAGACGGTTTGAGTTGGACAACCTTTACTGTCTGAGGAAGTGCGTACACAAGGGCTCTGTAGGCAGTCGCCGCGAGCGCGCTCCAAGCAAGCTGTTGTCTGTGTCCGCCTTCGAGGTGTTGTGTCAGCGCGTGTGTGCGCCCTTCGTTGTCTCCCAGTCGCCAGCCAATCAGAGTGCGGACAGCGTTGATTGGCTTCGAGCACTCGCGCGGCCCAGCAGCGTATCGACATGGAGTGTGAGGCGGACAGGACGGCAGCATGACAAAGGCGGAGGGTGAGGAGACGCGAACTGCTACAAGTATGATTTTTCAGTAAGTGGTCTTCATTTGCGATTACTCAACAGCAAAGGCTTTTTGCCAAGGTAAACAATTTTTGATGAGAGACGGGGGGTGAGAAAAACTTATGTTTTAGCATGATTATTCGTGATAATTTGATATACCCTTTAACGATACCAATGATAACTCTGACAAGCTAGGATTAACGACCGGGTGGTCTTCCGTCTCTCCATCCGTCATTTTGAACGACGGCCAGGCTGCGATGGCCCCTATCTACTAAGAACTTTGTACAGCTCTGACTCTCCAGAGTACGAAGCCGATTGTAAAATAAATCATTAGGACGAATTTGATAAAGCGGCAAATTTTGGTCTTGACTTCTAACATCATACGCAAGTATAGCACCGAAGGCGGTGGCTATACTGCGCACCCATGTCGGGTAGAGTGCGATTGCATGGCCGGTTTATCTCCCTGGTGGAGTTTGATGTATCAGATAAGGCCAGCCCAAGTTTGTTTTCCCTATGTCACTATCTTTCATATTCATAGATT